CATGGGTTCTCACAACCCCATCATCGTCGTTTTCGGGGCAGACAATGTGCGCGCGTAGTAACGAACGAACAACGAACGACGCGGGAATTTGGATGCATGTGCAATTCTAGAAGATTTGGTGTATTCCTGTATAGGTGTAACGTTTATATGGATTGATACATGTGCATGCGTTGTTTGTGGTCGACAAGGAAACAAACACATGATGATAATACATCGTCATGTTATTTCTAGAGGGGAACTTTCCGAACGATGTTATTTGCTTAACAATTCCAATGTGATTTCACGCAATGTGCGCAGCGCGTTTCATTGGATATAGCGCGACATTAATTTTGGTGCCCCGCCCCGAGGGGAATCGTTCGCGCCCACGAGGGTACGAATTATTGTTGACAGCCACGCGCAGGGAGGCGCTGAGGGGAAAAGGAGGGTGGGCGGAATGCAGGAGGAAGGGGAGGAGGAGGCGGGCAAATAAAAAAAGCGGGGTGGGAGGAACGGAGGGGGGAGGGGGGGGTGGTGGCGTTTGGCCGGCGAGGGCAAGTTTTTTTTACCTCCCGCTGTGTTTCGGCTGTTACCCCCACCCCCGCTGGCTGTTTCAGCCGGTTGGAAAAGGATTGATGGCCCACCCCCGCTGGCTGTTATGTTTCGGCTGTTACCCCCACCCCCGCTGGCTGTTTCGGCTGGCTGTTTCGGCTGTTACCCCCACCCCCGCTGGCTGTTTCGGATGTTACCCCCAACCCCCAAATTTTAGTTTTGAAGGATAGGATTTGGTGCACCTCGTTCCACCATCCTTCTCATCCTTCTTGCACCTAACCCCCCCACCTCATGGCGGGCAGGACTCCCTCGCATTCCTCCATCCTTCTCATCTTCATCCTCCTCCTCATCCCCCTCCTCCTCTTCCTCTTCCTCCTCCGATTCTTCCTCCTCCTCCTCCTCCTCCTCCTCCTCTGTCGTCCTCCTGTGTGTACTCTTCCTCCCCCTTGTCCTCCTCCGTCTCGCCCAATCCGCTTCCTCGCCCGCCCCTCCCTGCGTCTGAATTGCCAGGCTTCCCCCCTACTCCACTGCGGGTTGCTTCGGCCCTGGAGTTTCGAGATTTTGTGTTTCTGGCCTTCGGAATGGGGGCCTCCTCGTCGCCGCGGCTGGACGCCGCCCGAAAAATGGTCATATCATCATCCCATGGGGCCTCCTCGTCGTCGCCGCGGCTGGACGCATCCCAGGGGGGAAGAAGAGAGGAAGACAACAAGAAGAGGGGGGCATGCATGTTGCACCGTGACAACAGCCGTTTTGGCTTCGCCCACCCCCCAGCAGCCAGCGGCCGGCGCGGCCGCCCGCCGCCGCCCGCCGCTGCAGCGGCATGCCCGTGCTGGGCATCGACGCGGGCGGCGTCGCGTCCGGGGAGGGCGGCGACGGCAGGGGGGGGCGCTTGGAAGGTTCTGGCTGGGTGGGCAAGCGCATGGCGCGCCCTGAGAGGGCGCCGTGGCGGCTTGGACTGGAGGTGGCGCTCAGCCCGCCGCCAGATTCGCCGCGGCGCCCCCTCGGGGCGCGTCGATCGAGCCTGCGCCACCCCGCAAAGGCGACGACATCTACCAGGCAGTAGATGGCGGGTTCTGGCCTTTTGCAATGCTGTATGCGGCTGAATTTGGCCTCGATGATGTCCACTTCATCAGTCGGACGAATCGTGGCACGTGGCATTCTTGGCATCGTCGTTTGGGCCAGGTGGAGGCTTGGGTCGTGAGGCTGATCAGGAGCACAGGTCTGCTGCAGATGCGGCTTGATCATAACAACGTCCACTTGACCTGTAACAAGAGCGGCGCTGGCGGGAAAGGCCCGAAGTGCGAGGATGATGGCGTTGTCTTGACCCACATGATCGACAATGACCTCGAGTGCTTGTGGGGCGTCCTCCACGAAGGTGGCCAGGCGCAGTGCGACTCCATCACTGAACATGGCGCCGTCATCCAGTACACGGGCGTCCGGCCTGTCGGGAATAGGTGGGACTCCGACGACGACGACGTCCTGGTCCGCATCGGCAGTTGGCGCGAGGTGGTTGGCGCATTAAAATTAGTAGTATGAGACTCAGAGGGGGCGTCAGGGTAGATATAATATGTGTTTGGTACGTCGTCTGTCGCCGTCGTTGTCGAGGGCCCCCTTTTTTTGGGGGCCCCTTCCCCACTGAGGCTCGCAACTAATAATAACAATGCGCTAGCCCATAGATGGCGGACTACTTCCGCCTGCCGAACATGGACGTCTGGGACCAGCTGGCGCAGCTCGGGCCGCCTTCCCGCCCCGCGCCAACAGGCAGGACGGCCGTGGAGTTGATCGAGCAGTGCCGGCGCCGCTCCAGGGTGCGCCGTCGCCCCCCGATGGAGGAGCTCGACGACGACGGCCCTCAGCAGGACAGTAGTGGTGATGATGATGATGATCATCGCCGCGGCGGCCGCGGCAGCCGCCGCGGCCGTGGCAGGGCTGGGGGCTCGGCCGCCGCCGCCGCCCACGCGTCGTCGACGCCGGCGTCGCCGCAGCTGCTGGTGGCCAAGCCTCCTTCGCCGAGGGCGCCGTCGACGCCGCCGCCGACCCACCTCCTCAAGAAGGCATCGGGGGCGCCGCCCAGGGGGTCGGCTGGGGCCGGCGCGGCGCCGGCGACGCCGCCGCTGGCGCCGGCGACGCCGCCGCGGGCGGCGGCGCCTGGCCCCTACGTGGCCTTCAAGGGCGCGCCGCCAGCCGGCCCGCCGCCGACGAAGGGAGCAGGGCGCCCGTCGGCGGCTGCGGCCGCAGCAGCGCCGGCCGCCGCAGCAGCGCCGGCAGCAGCAGCGCCGGCAGCGTCGTCGACGGAGGAGCTCCAGCACCAGGTTTCGATGCTACAGGCGACCGTGGACACCCTGCTCTCCTTGCACCAGAACACCAACGCGATGAATGCCTCTGTGGCGGCGTTGGCCGCTGCTGCTGCTGCTGCGCCCGCGGCTGTTTCGGCCGATGCTGCTGCTGCGCCCGCGGCTGGTTCGGCCACGGGGGGCGCGGCGGCGGCGGCGCCTCCTGCGCAGGAGTGGGCCGGCTGGCAGTCTGCGTCTCACCACTCGGCGGCTTGGCACTCTAAGAAGTTGGCTCGGGCCCAGAAGCACGCCGCTGGCGTGAGGCCCGCGGGGGTCCGCACGGCGCCTCAGCCGGCCATGTGCGCCATATGCCACCGCAACCAGCCTGGCGCATATTGCGTTCGGATGGCGTGCAGGGTGTGTTGCCAGAGGGTGCAGGAGACGGATGCGGCGGCCACCTATTGCGAGCAGCACAGCGCTTGAAACAAGCGTTGATGCGTGCATGTGCAACGCCCCCGGTTTTTTTGCGATCTGCATGCCCTTCGTCGTCGTCATCAACAACATGGTGACGACTGCGCGGTCGCCGCTAACTGGGGCGCGCTCTTCCTTCGCTTGTATAAGCGCGAAATGTATAAGCGCGGAAGTTGCGAGCGACGCCTCGACGAGCGACGCTCGACCTGTGAAAAAAAAAAAAAAACATCATCATTGTCATGCATCATCATCATCATCATCATCAGAGGGCGGAGGGCGGAGGAGGAGGAGGAGGAGGAGGAGGGAGGGCAATGGAAGGGACGAGGAGGCGAGTGGGGCGAGAGGGGGAGGAGGAGGAGGAGGAGGCAGAAGAATAAGAAGTGCAGGAGGAGGAGTGCCGGCGCCCAGTGCCTCTTGGCCGAAACAGCCTCATTCCCATCGTCTCCTCTGGATCCGTGGGTGGAAGAAGAAAGAAGAAGAAGAATGACGTTTAGACTCGGATGGGAGATGGTGGGTGGAAAACGAATGATAAGGAGAAGGAGGTAGCGATGCATGACGAATTAGCTTTCTTCTTCACCCCGCATGCAGGCAGCGGCGGCGGGCTCGTTCGTCGTCGCCGAGAGTTGGGGGCCATGGCCTCCGGGGGCCTCCACGACGGGCGGAGGTCCGCGCGAACTCCATGCCGCAGATGGGGTCGAGAGCCTCCGGGGACCTCCAGGAGCGGAGGCCCGCGCGAATTCCACGCCACAGATAGGGTCGAGAGCCTCCGGAGGCCTCCAGGGGCGGAGGTCCGCGCGAAATCCACGCCGCAGATGGGGTCGAGAGCCGCGTCAGCTGCGCCTCCAAGAGAGCTGTCTGAGTTCTTGGCTACCTCGGGATGCCTGGGCCACGTCGGATTCGCCTCTGGAACCCTTTCAGGACAGGTGGCCCGATCGGGCCATGCAGAACTTCCCTGCTCGGTCTGCTGGTCTGCTCGGCTGATGCGGCCGAGGGCCGGGCCGGCTGCGTCGGCTAGGGGGGCTTGATTGTTGTTTCGGCAAGCTCTTGTCGTCGTCGCACTCGTCGTGTCACCGCCGGCCCTCCTCGCAGCCTGCGCCTTCTTCTTTCGTGATCGTCGTCATCGTCGGCACTGCTGCTGCGACCACCCTGCCCGCTACCCTCCTGCCCGCGGCTCGCCTCCTCCTCCGCCTCCGCCGCCTCCTCCATTTCATCTCCGTATCCTTTTTGGCTGAGTGTGTGCCGACGCGGGCTGTTGCGGCCCTTCGGAACGACGAACATAAAAACGTGCGGGCTGTTGCGGCCATTCGACTTGCAGTGGGAGTTGCCATGGCCCCTAAGAAGCAGTCGCAGAAGCGGGAATCCACGGGCAAGGCTGGATCGGCCCCCCCTCCGATGAAGAGGCCAAGGTCAAGGGCTGGATCGGCGCCGTCTACCCCAGGGGGAGGAGATGATGACTTCGACAATGCGCAGCCGGCTGCATCGGCCAATAATTGCGTGGGCCCCGTGCTGGACATCATCACCGAGGCTTTGAACACCATCAAGACGTCGCCAATCTTGGCCGACCTCGTGAAAACAATGCCGCTGACCATCGCCGACGGCGGCCGCCAGGCGCCGTTCACCAAGCAGGACTGCCTTGATGCCCTCAGCCGCGGAAGCAACTACACTTGCGGGAGCAACCTGTTTTGGCAGAACTTCTTCTGGAGCGCCACTTACAAAACCCCTGTGAACATGGGGCAGGTCAAAGAGATCCGCAGATTCCACATGTCCCCGATGAGCCCGCCAGAGGTCTTCCCCATGACCACCGTCTTCGCGGTGGACAACCCGGCCATGGACGTCACCATGCACCTTGGCAGTTTGCAGCGCCTCTCGCCAATCGAGCCGCAATTGGCTTTGCTCATGAGCATGGCCGACGCGGTGAAGAAGAAGGCGGAGGACAGCGTCCTGTTAAAGTGGAGGCAGGTCGCGCTGTCGGCGCCAGTGACGTTCGAGGTGCAGGCGGAAGGCGACACTCGGAATTGGCGCGCCCATAACATTCGGCAGGAGTGGATCGAGACAGGGGATACAGCCCAACTCAGCGCGAGGCAATGGGTGTACGACATCGTCGGTTTTAAGGAGGCGAAGGAGAAGGAGATTGGTAAGACGCTGGGTAGCAAGGAGCTCAGCCAGCTCTACGAGAAGCACATGAAGTACGCGAAGTCTACAGTCCGCGTGAAACCGACCTTCGTGGATAACGCGATCACCGTCCACAAGCGGCTGTTGTCCCTGGAAGACTCCAACAAGTGCCTTGTCTGGGCGGACGAGAACTTGATGACCGATTCCCCGTGGACGAGCCTCTACGCGATGCAGGCTGTGGTCGAGCGCGCGTCGACTCCCAACAAGATCGATTGGGCGATGATGGGCCTCACGGACCATTACCGCATGGCGCCCAAGGGTTTGTTCTGAACACCCTCGCTGCTCGCGCCAACCCGTCGTCGACGCGTCGTCGGCGGGTCGGCGCGAATCAGCGTCGGGGAGGAGTCAGAACCACCAGGAGTTCATTGACTTAGGCAAGTTCGGTGTCAACAAGCTCAGGGACTACAGGGAGAGCTACGTCGAGGTCTTGAACTTGAAGCTCGACGTGAAGAACGAGATGCTGTTCAAATGGCTTCCGCGCGTTGGCATCCCAAGCGATCACGTCGCAACCATACAGCAGAAGATGGGTACCTTCGCCGCGGTGCGGGCGTACGTCACTGGCTACCCGGGGGATACAGTCGATACCACGTGGCAAGCTCTGATGAAGCAGTCGGCTGTTTCGGCTGTCACGCTCATCGAGGAGTTGGTGTACACCATCGAGTTCGACAGGCGCTACACCAATGCCATCCAGTCGAAGCTCGATGTGGCGGACTTTCTCGCCTACGAGTCGGTCGCCATGCGTATGAACGAAGTCATCGAAATGGCGAAGAGGGAGAACGGGACTGATGGCGCCGAGGCGGCTGGAGCGGCCGGAGCGGCCGCCTCCTCTGCCGGGGCTGCCGCCGCAGACCCGGGCAGCAACAGCATGACATCAGCGGGCGACGCGCCCAAGGAGTTGAAGAAGTTCGCCCAGTTGCCAGAGACGGACAAGCAGAATTGGAACAGGGTCATTGACAAGGTCGTTCGGACTTACATTCAGATCGTGCCCGACCAGAAAACGCAGGCTGAGCTGGAGAACGTGCTCTGGGACTCCGCGCTCGCCACCATCAAGGGTGACCCCACGGGGCTGGTGCTGTACCACTTCGACGCGAAGCAGTTCGGCGAGCCGCAAACCAGGCCTGAGCTGCGCATTGCGCCCCTCAGGGAGAAGCCGCACGAGCGTCTCGTGCGTTCGATGTTGAACGCAAGGGCGCCCCAGGGGCAGCCGAGCCATCTCCGCAATGGGGAGGTCGCAGTGATTCTGGACGGCGGGCGGAGGGGCAATGCGTCCAAGCTGCTCGCGCCGTGGAAGGAGAACACCGTCGAGAAGAAGGAGGCTAAGGGGCGCGGCCGCGGCGGCGATGAGGCGATGGAGGCCGACGACGACGATCAGGACGGCGACGACGACAGCGACAACGAGCAGAGGGCCGGCTTCAAAGCTTCGATCATCCAGCTCGCGTACACGGAGGACAGCCTGAAAGCGCGCCGCAACAGGGTGCACGGAGGCACAGGGAGCCTGCACCAGATAGAGTGGGCGCACATGGTGGCACACGCGCGCATTTCGATCCCTGAGCGGCGCCGCAAGTACTTCGAGGGCAGCACGGCAGGGGATCTGATTACTGGCATCGAGGTCCCAGAGCTTGGCAAAGAATGGCGCGTGCTGTGGAAGGACAAGAAACTTATGTACGGAAGGAAAAATCTGATTGCCGTGGGTGGCAAAACAGAAGGCATTGAGCCGCTCCAGGAGCGGAAGACCGACGAGACCATGATCCCCGTGAATTTCCACGGCGTGCCGATGGTCTACTACAAAGAGCTGATCCACATGTTCTATGTTAAATGCGTGCTGGATCTGACCCCGACCGATGCGAAATTCGCGTGGGCTTGTCTCCAGGAGAGGATCGCATACGTCGGGGTGGCATTCACGAAGGAGCACATGGAGAAGATCTACTCCTACCTGACGGACCTCGTGAAGCAGGCGATGGCGGATGCCGGGTCCAAGCTGTTCAACAAGGACTACGCGAAATCTCTCGGCATGGAGGCGTCCAGCTCCGGCGGCAAAGGCGGAGGTGGCTCCGGCGGCGGCGGAGGTGGTGGCGGCCGCGGTGGTGGAGGCCGCGGCCGTGGCGGCCGCGGCCGTGGCGGCCGTGGCCGCGGTGGCCGCGGCGCCGCGGGGACGACGGATGATGATGGGGCTGCGGCGGCGGCGGGCGGGGGTGGCGACTCAGGAGGCGCTGGCGGCGGCGGGGACGGCGGAGAAGATGGCCAGGACGGCGGCGGCAGCGGGGACGGCGGTGATGACGGTGACGACCTGCCCAACGGCGACGAGGAGCTCTGGGACCCTTTGGGTGAGCAGTGACAGCCAGCTGAGGTGCAGTCGACCTGCGAGGTCGACGAAACGTGCGATGAGCAGCTGCTGTTCCCGTATTAAGTCATCGGCCGAATCAGATGTCCTTGTTCAGAACCCCCTCCCCCGCAACAAATGAGTGTATTGTTTTACCAGAGCTTTATTGTTGGGCCGATGACAGTTTTGTTAGCTGCGTGCGTTGCGTTTGTTGTTGTAGGATAATTCCGTTGACAGCGGTTTCTGGCAGCATTCGAATGCATTTAGCATCGCTGATTCGGCGGGCACACCGCCAGGCTGGCTGTTTCGGCTAGCACGCGCCGCTCTCAAAAAATACATCGTCATCACCCTGCCATCGCATCCCATCATCATCATGGCTTCCGCCGTCCGCCCTGGCCCACTCCTGCCTCCCTCTCGATTCGGCTTTGGATGCGATTGGACTTGGACTCAGCGCTGGGATTGCAACTATATCATCTAGGAGAGAAGAAGACGGGATAGCAGTGAAAGTGCATCTGCGAAACACGCTGACGCGGCAAGTGCGGTCTGCCGCGCAATTCGCCGACGGCAGCGAGCTGCGGTAGCTCACTGCCGACAGCGAGCTGCGGTAGGAGAGGCCTGCTACAACAACGCCGCAGCTCACTGCCGACAGCGAGCTGCGGTAGGAGCTCCCTGTCGCGCATTTCGCCGACGGCAGCGAGCTGCGGTAGGTGAGGGGTGGCAGCTCACTGCCGACGCCGAGCTGCGATAGGAGAGGTCTGCCGCACCACCGCCGCAGCTCACTGCCGACAGCGAGCTGCGGTAGGAGCTCCCTGTCGCGCAATTCGCCGACGGCAGCGAGCTGCGGTAAGTTAGTTAGGGGTGGGCACCGCCGGCGCAGCTCACTGCCGACAGCGAGCTGCGGTAGGAGTCTTCTGGCGCACCACCGCAGCTCACTGCCGACAGCGAGCTGCGGTAGGAGCTCCCTGTCGGGCATTTCGCCGACGGCAGCGGCGAGCTGCGGTGGCTGCCGACAGCGAGCGAGCTGCGGTGGGAGTCTTCTGGCGCACCACCGCAGCTCGCTGCCGACAGCGAGCTGTGGTAGGAGCTCCCTGTCGGGCGTTTCGCCGACGGCAGCGAGCTGCGGTGGCACCGCCGGCGCAGCTCACTGCCAACAGCGAGCTGCGGTAGGAGTCTTCTGGCGCACCACCGCAGCTCACTGCCGACAGCGAGCTGCGGTAGGAGACTTCTGCCGCGCGCCGACGGGAGCTTCGGTAGGAGATGACTAACAGTCATCTCTTAACGCAGCTCACTGTCGTCAGTGAGCTGCGGTGGCCATGTGGGCCAAGATTGCTGCGACCTCGAAGCAGAGGTTCGCAGCAATCTTGGCCCACATGGCCACCGCAGCTCACTGACGACAGTGAGCTGCGTTAAGAGATGACTGTTAGTCATCTCCTACCGAAGCTCCCGTCGGCGCGCGGCAGAAGTCTCCTACCGCAGCTCGCTGTCGGCAGTGAGCTGCGGTGGTGCGCCAGAAGACTCCTACCGCAGCTCGCTGTCGGCAGTGAGCTGCGCCGGCGGTGCCACCGCAGCTCGCTGCCGTCGGCGAAACGCCCGACAGGGAGCTCCTACCGCAGCTCGCTGTCGGCAGTGAGCTGCGGTGGTGCGCCAGACTCCTACCGCAGCTCGCTGTCGGCAGTGAGCTGCGCCGGCGGTGCCACCGCAGCTCGCTGCCGTCGGCGAAACGCCCGACAGGGAGCTCCTACCGCAGCTCGCTGTCGGCAGTGAGCTGCGGTGGTCTGGCAGACCTCTCCTACCGCAGCTCGCTGTCGGCAGGGAGCTGTGGTGTTGCGGCAGACCTCTCCTCCCGCAGCTCGCTGTCGGCAGTGAGCCGCGGCGGCGGTGCCCACCCCTAACCTACCGCAGCTCGCCGCTGGCAGCGAACCACCACTTATACCTTCATCATTACCGCAGCTCGCTGTCAGCCTGGCCCATCCCAGAATGCAGCATCGATGACCCCACCAGCCCATCCAGAAACGATGCGTCAGAAAGAGGTTATCGGAGGTTGTTGTCTCTTAGAGCCATCTTGGGGCTATCTTGGGGTCCTCTTCTTGCTTGGGGCCATCTAAGGGCCCTTCTTCTCTTGGGGTTCCTCTGGGGCAATGCTGGGGCCTTCGTTTGGCCCTTTAGGCGGGTCTGGTCTCATCATGGGGGCGTCTGGGGCCCCACGATTCAACGTGCCTCCTGCTCCTCCTGATCCTCCTCCTGCTCCTGTTCCTGGTCTTCCTCCCTCTCTGTCTCCTCCTCTTGCCTCCTCCTCTTTGGGCCCCATTTTGGGTTCTAGGTCGTCTTCTTGGGGCCATCTTCTTGAGGCCTGCGAAGCCTTCATCATCATTGGCAATGTTTGGGAGCCAGCGCCCCTGTTTCTCGAGGGCAATGTCGCAACGCTAACAGCATGGGCCACATCGGCGACGCCGTCGTGGCGGCTCTTTGTTTCTGCCATCGGTAGCTGCGTCGGCTGCGCGACGGCGAACTCAGGATTCATCAGTAGCTGCTTCGGCTCGAACCAATAATATATAATACGTGTCTTCCCGTACGTGTCTTCTCGTATTCGCCTGCTGCCCATCCCCAGAGTCGCCGTCATGGGGAAGAAGACAGTACAGGCTGGCACGACGACGAATCGCCAGCAGCCGAGGCAGCCGCGGCGCCCGAAAGTCCTGAAGCTGGGATCTGATTTCTCAGGCTTGGAGACGGCGTCCGTGGCCATGGGGCGCATGGGTATCAATCATTCTCTCGTTTTCGTCAGCGAGTCGGATTCGGCGTGCATGTCGATCATCAAAAAGAAGTACCAGCCGGCGCACGCGTTCTCTGACATATTGGAGCGTACGGAGGAGGAAGAGACATACGTCGACATGTATGCGTGGACCCCGCCTTGCCAAGACTTCGCTTCGGGCGGCAAACAGAAGGGAGTCAAGGGCCCGCGCAAGACAGGGGATCTGATCAAAAAGTCCATACAGTACATCAAGAGGAATAAGCCCCGCGTGACCATCTTCGAGAACGTCCCGACCCTCACAAACAAGAAGTTTATCCACATCCTGAAGGGCATTGAAGAAGCGCAGAAGACGCTTGGATACGTCGTACACGTGAATAAGCTGAACAGCAAGGACTTCGGAGTTCCCCAGACGAGGGAGCGCGTCTTCGTTGTCGGCGTGCGGCAAGACAGCGTGATGCATCCGTTCACGTGGCCACAGAAGCAGGCGACGCCTCCAGTGACTTCCATCCTGGAGCCCAAGCGCGCCACCACCGACGTGGCAGGTCGGCTCCCCAGCAGCGAGCGCAGCCGGGGCATGTGCAAGGACGCTTACAAGAAAGCATGCGAGAAGAAGGTGGACCCGCGCCTGACCCCAGCGTTGGTCGACATCGACTGTTCCAAGAAGTTCGCCACGCACGGGATCAACATCGCCAGGGCGCTCACCAAAACCCGTGGCCAGGACGGGGGTCCGTGGGTCTCCAGCCGCGGGCGGCGGGCGACGCTGCATGAGATGATGCGGCTTCAAGGTTTCGCCAAGGGGGACATTCCACAGGCTGAGCTCGACTTGTCCGACCGCCAGATCGGCGGCATGATTGGCAACGCGGTCAGTGTGCATACCATGGGCGCCATTTTGTCTGAGGCGCTCTACAGCGCTGGGCTCACGAAGACGCGGGTTCCATTCCCCTTGCACTATGGGCGGTGAGTGCAACTTGATTGCACTACGAACATATTTTTTATATCGGCCCAGGCTGTTCCGGCCCGTCGGCTGCAGTTCTGACAGTCTTAAGTTTGCGAGCGGAGGTCCATGCGCCCAACCAAGGAAAAATCTGCAACACGATAATAGGCTTCCCGTTAACAGCAGGCCGCATCATGTCCTTGATGCGGTTCGTTGATGCGTAGACTCGCCACGCATGGCATATCTTCGTTGATGGACCGGCTCGCCGTCCATGACATTTATCTGATTATTGTTGCGCTCCTGAGCCCGTCTATCGTAAACATTTTTGCTCAAGTTCCATGTGCCCGCCTGATCGACTAGTATTGCTACCGCCCGCCACCCCGATGCAGCTATGGTGGAGAAGAAGCAAAGCAGCAAGTCATCCGACAGATTCGCCGCGGCGACTCTTTGGAAAAGACTCTACCCTAAGTGGTCTAAGCGATTCCTGGTGGATCCGAGCCGCCCTCTGTTGGGTTCACGGTTGAGTAGCAAGTGGAAGGACGGGCAAGGAGTTGGTTGCGCATGCTGCCATTGGGCAGGCGTTAACAGCCCGTTCAGCAATTTTCAAGTAATGTCTGTCGCTGCGCTCCAGGCTGTCAACTTCGACAAACACAGTCGGAACCCTAATCACAAAGCAGCTGCTGCGGCTTATGCGCGGATGAGGGATCGGCATGAGTTGGCTGCATCGGCCTCTTCTGCTGAGCCAGGCGAGCTTCAATGCCCCAGCGAGTCGGATTTCCTGGACGTCGTCAAGCTCGTAACCAATGGGTGCGGCCTACTGACAACAAAGAACCGTATAATGTTGTGGTGCATCCAGGGTGCCCTGAAGCAGCGCGACATCAACATCATCAAACCAAGTGCAGCAATCTCTTTATTTCGTGACGAGCGGAAGGGGCGGCTACTCATCCGATTTAGATGCGTCGGGGACGACCTGTCAGAGTTTTCAGGGACATTGGGGCAGGCTCGTGGCTTTGGGACAGGGGCCGCGGCAATCACCAACGCAACAGAGCAAATTATGGTCAGAGCGTGCACTGAGCTGCACGGCCCCCCGCCGGGAGCGAATTGCACCCCCGCTCTCAGGCGGGGGGTTCTGGAACATCTGAAAGCACGGGTGTTGTGTCTCACGGTTGATTCTGCAAGCGATGAGCTTCTCTGCGCTGAGATGATGCGATCGACTGCTTTGAGCGCCGCTGCCCAAGTCTTGACCCCAGGGCTCCGCTTCGTCATCAGAGACAAAGCGCATTCAGCCAGGAGGGTCGTGAGCAGGCCGTGGGCCGCTGACCCTTACATCAAGGAGACAGCCATGATCTTCGCTCGCGGCCGAGGCTCCATAGCACGCATGATTCAGAACAGCCCGCACATCCGACAAGTGTTCGTGAACTACACGAAGATGTGCCGGAACAAGGCCATAAACGCCAGCGTTTCGAACCTACGGGCAGCCGCCCACCGATTTGAATCATTTCAAAAACCTCTTGGTCGCACCTGCATCTTTCTGCACGCTTGCATCCGGACGGCATTGCACATTTCTCGTCGACAGAACGACGATATGGCAAAGATGGCAAAAGCGTGGCTCAAGTCTGTCAACACAGAGCGGTGCTTGATGTTGGCGATGATGGCCGACGCAAGTGACCAGGCAATGCAACTCACTCGGATTTTAGATGACGAGCCGGCCGATCCAGCCATTCTCAATCGCGAGGTGTTGGCGTTCAACTTGTCTATCACTGGCTTATTTGGCAGTTCGCGCGGATGTTTGTCTGTGTTTGGCTACGCGACCATGATGCTGAAGCTGCTGAAGATTCCGATTGTGTGGCAAGTTGATGGGGCGAGTTATCATATCGGGGACGAGGCCGGTGTCTCGGCGGATATCATAGACAAGTGCATCGCCAGGATGCGCTCCTACATCGTTCTTTCGCGAGCGGCTCTGAAGGCCGAGTTCCCAACTTTCGAACTGGCCCAGGACAACTGGGCGATCAACGCTTCGTGAAAGTTCACCCGTCCCTCCCCACTCGTCGCTGTTCGTCGATTTGAACATTGAAACAGGGTGCCCCCATCGTCGCCCACCCTTCCCCACGCTCGACGAGCGCGGGGAAGGGGAAGTAAGTTTTTGTATCCCCCCAGGCTTGGCGCGCGTTCGATTTGACGTGCCCTCCCAACAAGCCTGAGGAGGATTTGCAAAGGATTGCACAGTCACTTGATTCGCGTACTTTGTCTCTATCACCGCCGCCCCTCGCACGAACGGCCCTGCCCCTGGCGCGCGTGCCCATCTGGGATCGGAATCAATGGGTCAACGGTTCCATCTGCTTCTCGCCGCGGGCCCCGTCCAGGGGGGGGGGGGATCTTGATCCCTTAAGGCTTATTGCTCAATGGCACGACCACTACCCTCGCGCGCGCCAGTTGTTCAGCCCGTCATGATCTAACAACGAGGATGCGTGGCGCTCTGCGTTGAGCAGAACAGGCGCTCGCCACCTCACGGCCAGCCACCCGTCCGACGTGCTGGGCCGTGCTCTTGTCGCCTTCATCGCCTATGGCTTGAGCTCGTCTGGAGTGGAACAGAAATTCAGTCAAGCTGCGCTGAAGTTCACTGACCGCATGGGCAAAGCCACGGCGGATCACGAGGAAGGGTTCCTCAAGGTGGCTATGGATTTCCCTGAATCCGACCAGCCAGAGATCATCAGGATGGCACAGCGAGTGTGGCGCATGTCGTTCGGCCCGCCCAGGACGTCGCCCCTGCTCCCTCGGATCGACAAGGGCGTGAAGCGCAGCGCGGGCCCCGCTGATTTCACGGAGGCGGGCTTCATCGCGAAGCGGCGGAGGGCCGCCCGGAGCGCAGCCGCGTCTGTGCTGGGCGCCGAGAGGGCGCTGGCAATCCAGAACGATCTAGTCGGCTTCCGAGCAGGCGCTGCATGGGGGGAGACCCACGAGAAGGAGCTGTCATTTCTCAACAACAAGTTGCGGGACAAGTCCTTGGCAGCAATTCACGAGAACGGCCTCCTCCAACATGAATCCAGCCCGGCTCTTCGCGCTGATGCAGCTCAGAAGGCAGCGAAGCAGATCGCTGACCTGAAGGCGCGCCAGCGCAGGCAGGCACGCGATGCGGAGTTCTTACGCGGCGCCAGTCGAGCAGAGATGATGGCAGCGATCAGGGGCAAAACTGTCTATGTGCACGACAGTTGCCGAGGGGGGGCAGGTCTGGAGCGTGCGCTCAGGGAGGCGTGCCTGAGGATCAAACGATCTTTCGAGGCTGATGTGTTTGTTGTTCCCAAGCCAGGAGCAGCTCAACCGTTCATCGCATTTGCGTCTGCAATGAGGGGCGGTTTCCAGGTGTCGCCTGGATTCCTGATTTCGGGGCGCGGCCCAGCTTTGAAGTACATGCAAGTGTGCCACCTAAAGAAGACATTGTACATGTCGCCGGGCAGCAATACCAAGTATTGCGCGTTCCTGGAACTACTTTTCTCCAGGATTCCGCAGTGCAAGTGGAAAATTGATGGGGTTAGTAGCTGGGCCACCTTGAAGGCAGCGTTCACAGGCGCTAAGAAGAGCGCTCTTTTGGCGTTAGTGTTGCCTGATGAGTTGCGCCAAGATGCGTACAAGGACTTTAAGAATTCATTTGCATTCGGGGGTTTGGTCCAGAAGCTTGCGTCCGTGGACACTGCGCGCTCTTGCTCGGGCATGCAGTGATAGGTCAGCTGCTTCGGCTGGGCTGCAGTGATAGATCAGCTGCTTCGGCTGGGCTGGAAAAATCATTATCCTCCCTCATCATCGCACTCCTCTTCGTCTCATCCCTTCCCCTCGTCATCCTGGCCCCTCCCTCCGCCCAGCGATCCTGCCTGATCGATCTCTTTTTGCTGCTCTTCGCCGCTGCCGCTGCCGCAAAACTGCTACCTCTCTGATGTTTTTTTTTCTGTCGCTGCGCGAACCCCTGCCGCGCATCCATTCCTCGTTGTTGGCCGAGGCAGCCAGTTATTAATCGCCGCGAGGCCGGATGCGCCGGCCGAGTCAGCCTTCGGGCAAGTCAACAGCTGAAGTGGGCCCATGGGGTGGAGGAGGAGGAGGCGCGCCTCCAGTGTCCCGATCCCCGCTCCTCATCGCTCCTCGCTTCTCGCTCCTCGTCGCTCCTCCCCATCCTCGCTCCTCTTCTTCTTCCTTCTCCTCCTCCTTCTCATCCTCCTTCTCCTCATATCTGCTCCTCGTCCTCCCCTCCCCCGCGTTCTCATCATCGTTTTTTCTCGCTCCTCGATCCTCTTCCTCGGTCGGTCGTCCTCGCTGACCCTCGCGCTCGTCATCCTGCTGGCGATGCTGCCACTGCTGCTGTTCCTCTTCCCCCTCTGCTGCTCCTCCTTCCCTGGGCCCCCCCGCAAGTTTAATGGGTGCCACTTCTTCTTTTCCCCCGTGCCCTGGTCTTCCCCGCCCAGAGGCTGGGCGCTGCCCGTGGAGGAGGGGGCGTGCCACAGCTGCCAAGTAAGAAGACCATTCTAATTGAAAACATTGCAGTGCTCTGCGCCAACGTGTTATACCCGTTGCATATACCCGCCATTGGCGCACTGCCGCACCGCAATTGAGTGACGACGCGCGGCCATGAGGAACAAGAAGAGCGGATGGCACATGGAAGGACTAGCACAACAAAGCATATTGATATACAGAGATGGGAAGAAATAGAGATGGAGGGAGAGAGAGAGAGAGAGAGAGAGAGAGAGAGAGAGAGAGAGAGAGAGAGAGAGAGAGAGAGAGAGAGAAAGAGAGAGAGAGAGAGAGAGAGAGAGAGAGAGAGAGAGAGAGAGAGAGAGAAATAGACGAAAGCACGGCGGCCACACGGGCCGGGGCAGCCCCTTACTGGCTGCCGCTTCCGGGGGAGGGGCTCCGCCTCTGCCCGAACTCCTTCTGCCAGCACGTCATGCACATGAAAGTGTCGTGTGCGAACCGTGAGAGGTACTCCGTGTTGCGATGGTACACCATGCCCTCCTTGCCATTATTAGTGACATCCTTCCTGCCGCAGCCCTCGCAACGATGCTTCTTGACTGCCGACGCGCTGCTCCGCAGTTTCTCCGCCTCCACTTCGTTGCAGGCTGCCCGAAAGTTGACGACGCGCAACGCCTTCACTTCGCAGTTCAAGGGCTCCGCCTCGGGAGCGATGTTCACACGACGACGAGGCTGAGGAGGGTCCGCCGCCGCCGCGCGAGGCCGCTTCCGAAGCGCAGAGCGCTGAGGAGCAGCGCTCCGATGGTTCGGCGGGAAGTGGACCCAGGCGGCCATCGACCACGGCTGAGGAGAAGACTTCTCAGGCGTGGCCGCCTCCTGCGTGGCCGGCTCCGGCGGTTGCTGCTGCTGCGGCCGCGCCGGCGTGGTGAGCGGCTCCGCCGATGGTCCGCCGTCGCCGCCCTGAGGGCGGCTGGGTGGTGAGGCTGCTGGTTCCGCCGCAGCGCCGCCACCGCTGCGACGACGACTGGGTGAGGCTGCTGGTGGCGGATTCGGCTTGCGGGGCGCCTCCTGGTCCTCCTTCTTCTTCTTCAAGAACTCCTTCCGCTGCTCGACGACGTAGAGCTGGAACCAGTTGATCGACGGCACGCTCACGTGGTCCTTCACTGAGGCCTTGATCTTCGCCTTATGCTCGTCGCTGAAGACGTACAGGGCCGCTGTCTTGGCGAGCATGCCGTCGTCGACCAGGCGATCTACTATCTGCCTGACCAGCTTCGGGCACCGACTGCAAGCTCTCTTGTCGCGCCCGTTCGAACGCATGAACTCGGAGAAGCCGTCGAAGACCTTGTCCAGGATGGATGGCGCGGGATCCGCCATGAGCAGCCTGGCCGAGGCAGCCAAGGCCGATGGAAAGGAATGGAGGTGTGGCCGGTGCAGCCAGTACAGAGGCCGATGCAGCCGCACGGCGGCTGCAAAAATAACGCGCGGCGTGCGCGCGGGAAGCCAAAACGGCTGCGGGGGATGGATGGGGGAGTGGCGGCGAAAGGACGCGGAGGATCTGGGAAATCAATGAGGCAAATGATGTGGAGGGTAGACCGCCCCAAGGATGCATAAAGAAGAAGGCCTCAGGGCTGCCCGAGAGTGCTTCCAGACGGCCTAGAGGCGCCCAACAACAAGACGGCCCAAAAAGAGGGCCCCAAGATGGCTCCAAGAAGACGGGCCCACAGGGGGGAACACGAAAAGTCTTCAAGAAGCCCCCGAGAGGCCCTCAAGGACCCCCCCCCCCAAACAAGCCCCAACTCCCCAAGACGCCCACCAGGGGGGAAAAGCAACAAGGGGTTTTAACATCAGCAGAAGGCCTCTTCTTCTTGGCCCCTCTGGATTACGACGGTAATATGTTCAACGCGCAACCGCATGCGCGTTTTTATGCATACATGTGCATACACAACTAGTTATATGTAGTACTACTCATGGCCGTATATATCATAGCAACCAACGAGCGATTGATTTAATTATTCAAACTGTTTGATTATTTTTCACCATGCCCCACGAGTGGGCGCTGATGGCTATCGCTATCGCTTGATATTTCCTCACAACTACTACCCCCCAACAAGCCCCGAACGAGAGGTCTCCCACGAACGATGCACCAACGATGACGATCATCACAATCACCCGTTCATTTTTTAAAATTTTTCCCTCCGGGCCAACCTAGCGACTTTTTCATTTTGAACACGACAGAACTCCTCGCGCGCGCGCGCCGCGTCGCGCGCGCGGGCGCCTCGGCGCACGCGCGCTCGACGCGCGCGCGCTCAGTCTGAACATATTCAGCATTTTGCATAATTCCGCGTTCATTCCCTAAAACTTATAAGGGCAAACGTAATGTGTGTTTGATTTTAGTGTCATGGCAGCATTATTATTATTTCCCCTCCTCGTCGACCCCCATCACAAAGTCGCGGGCGCCCATGCCACGATGACAAAGATTAACTTTGGGCGCGAAACACCGCGTGGAATTTAAAATTCCATTGAGTGTTTGAAAGTCGGCGCGCAGCAGACGAGCGAGGGCGCCCGAGGCGCCGCCAAGAGGATGGCATCGGCTGGCTGCGCGGACGATGGCCATGTCGTGGCCGCCTCGCTCCAGACCGAGGTTGCGAGCCTTCGCCGCCGGGTCGGCCCCCCGGTCAAAACGACGAAAGCCCGCGTCAATCGGGTCGCGGGCCCTCTCAAGGTGTCGGGTCGCCCACTGCAATCTGCGCGCGATCTGCAAGGCCGCAGCCCGCTGCCCTAGCGCCACAGGCCCCAGTTGGTCTTCTCCGCGCCCCGCCCGCGCCCTCGATCGAAGGCGCAGCAAACGACCGGGCTATCAGAGCGGGAGCGGGGCCGTTTACCATGGCAGCGGGGATTGCGGCAGGCCCGTCGCAGACCGGTCAGCATCACCATGCCCTCCTTCGCGTTGATGTCCCCGGACGGGCCCCCACTTCGGCTCGAAGGGGATCTTCCAATGCTGAGGGGGGCCCCAGTTCGTTCCTAGCGCGGGCGCGCGCTGCGGATCCTCACGAAGCACGCGCTCTCGGAGTGCACGCCGAACTCCACCTGGGGCCAGCCTGTCGCACTCCTCGAGGCGTCGGCGCTCCAGCTGCGTCGGAGATCGACGAGGAGCAACCGCCTCGGGCACGCCACGGGGCGCCTGCCACACCTCGAGCGAGCCCCCCAGCGGCGAGAGGCCCGCACTGTCGCAGAGCTCCAGGTACGGCACCAGGTCGCCGCTCAGGGCCACCCGGTCCTCGACGAAGGCCCGGCGCTCGCGGTGCGCGGCCGCCTCTCTGAGCTCCGCGTCCGAGGCGCCCGTCGCCGCCTTGCAGTGACCCAGGTCGGACGGGGTCGGAACAGCATGCCAGACGGGGCTGCGGCGCCCCAAGGTCCCGCTGGCAAAGGAAGACAAAAGGCCGAGGACCACTTTGATCTCCTGGCGGACCGAGCCCACGCGCGACAGCGCCGGCCCAGGGCGCGCTGAATGAATTGGTAGACGGCCCACAGACTGGACAGGGCAGGCTGGTCGAGCATGATGAGACGAACCGCGTGACCGATCCAAACTCGAGGTACCTCACCGCGAAGTCGTCGTCGAAGAAGCAGCTCCTTACCTGCCGCATACACTCGCCAGACTCGGCGGGGCCGATGATGTAGGAGGCGGCGACGACAATCGAAGATGGCGCCAAGGTGCTCCAACGAAGAAGACTGCTCTACCACGTCGTGTGCACGCGTGCCTCGACTGGAGAATTGCTGCAGAACTCGATGTAGATCTGAAGCGTCGGTACTAGCACTCGGCGGGGCCGCGTTATCCACGTGGGTCGAGGTGATAGGGCTCACGAACGAGGCCCGCAGCGCCCAGCGTTTCTCTCGAGCAGCTCGAGAGGCGCCTCCAGGGGCTTCACCAGCAACAATCTGCTCCACAGCTGACAGACAGGAACGAGGGCCCATATAAAACCCATGCTAAGCGCTCCGATGCATGGGTTCGCAACGTCGGAAGGCTGCACAGGCGCCATCTCCTCAAGGTCGTCATCCCAGACCTCTGTGACTCCATAGACGCCCGCTTCGTCGGGGTCGTCCATTCCGAACCAACGGGCCATGCGCCAGTTGTTAAACTGGTAGAAGCCGCCCACCGCGTCCAACGAGCTCCCCGAGAAGGGTTGTGAGAAGAGGCCCCCCTGCCCCTTGAGGGGCTCCGCCTCCTCCTCCGCGCCCAGCTCGGCATCGGCGATCTCCGAGAG